TCTCTCCAGCCCTGGAAAGTCATAGCTTAAGAGTGATGTTTGGGTGACAAGTTGACAAGGGGTAGATTTGTGATGGTTAATACCGTCAATTTGACAGGATATAGAATCACCTAAGAGACAAATCTCTGGGTATATCTGTGAGGGAGTTTCTATATAGGCTTAACTGAGGTGGGAAAATCTACCCTAAATGTGGGTGGCACCATTCCATAGCTGAGGTCCTAGACTGAATAAAAAAAAGAGAAAGCAAACAAAGTACCAGCATTCATCCCACTCTACTTCCTGATGGCAATGTGACCAGAAGCCTCATGTTCCTGCTGCCATGCCTTTCCTGCCATGGATGACTATACCCTTAAACTGTGAGCTCAAACAAACCCTTCCTTAAGTTATTTTTGGCAAGTATTTCATCACAGCAATGAGAAAAGTAACTAATATACCCTATCCCAAACAAATACCACATTCATTTAATCAACACTTTCTAAACTCCTACTATGTGGTAGACAACATATTAAACAGTGAAGCCAACTCCTAAGCCCAAGGAACTCATTCTAAACCAGGATTCTATTAGGGATATATAAAGACCGAGAAGTGTACAATAAAGATTGCTTCCACTTCATCAGTTATTGAACTTGCATGGGTTTTGTTGCTGTTATTTGAGATAGGCCTCACTATATAGCTCCAAGTTGACCTTGAACTCACTATATAGGCCAGGCTAGCCTCAAAGCAGCTATCCTTCTGCATTAATCTCTCAAGTACTAGGATTACAGATGGAGCCACACCTGGCTTACTGTATGGTTCTTATGCGAAGCTCTTCTACCTTTTCAATAGAACTGATTAACTTACAGTTACCACTCTCTCCTCTGTTCTATGCTTTTTTAAAAAGACAGATTCTCATGTAGCCCAGGCTGGCCTCAAATTTGACATACAGACAAAGATGACTTTGAACTTCTAATCCTCCTGCTCTCATCTCCCAAATGCTGGGATTAAGGCATTAGCCACCATACTTAGTTTATGCAGTGCTGGGGATTAAACCCAGGGCCCCATGCAAGATACCAACTGAGCTACATTCTGAGTCCTGTACTATACTTCTTTAAAAATTTATTTATTTTTAGTTTTTTATGTGTGCTTTGCCTGAATGCATGTAAGTGCATCCATGTCATACAATGTCTGCAGAGGCCAGAAGAGGGCACTAGATCCCCTGGAATTGGAGTTAAGGACAGTTGTTAGCCGCCATTTGGGTGCTGGGAACAGATCCAGGTCCTCTGCAAGAGCAGTGCTCTTAACCACTGAGCCATCTCTCCAGCCCCCTGTAACATACTTTTTACAGCACATATTATGTGCACTGAGAATTGTACCTCTTTCTTATTGATCATTTCTTGGTGGCAGGGCATTCCCCTGTAGTCCTTTGTACATGTGGGTATAGCCACCATCCTATATATACAAACCATCATTTGTTTTGTTAAGTCTGGCAAATTTTTCCAGATTTATTTTGTTTGAAACACAGTCTTACTCTGCAGTCCAGGTTAGCCATGAACTCTCGAATTCTCCTGCCTCAGCCTCCCAAGTGTGGGAATTATAGACCTGACTCATCTTGCCTGGCGTTCCCTCATCTTCTAGCTAGGAATAATTTTCTCCCCTTTTGATCTTTTATGATATTCTAAGCCAGTACTTCTCAAACTTAATGTGCTTATGAATCACCCAAGGACCTTGTTAAGATAGAAATTATGATTAAGGGAGATTGTGCATAACTATGTGCCAAGTAATGCTAACAATGCTGCTCTGAATATATAAACCAGAAACAGTATTAGTTATTTGTTTGATATAAAGTAATGGCATCTAGCTACTCAGGTACTCTGGAAGCTAAGGCTGGAAGACCACAAGTTCAAGGCCATCTTGGGCTACATACTGAATTAGAGGCTAGCAGGAGCAATTTAGTGAGACTGTCTCAAACTGAAAATTTAAATAAGGGTTGAGAGTATAGCTTAGTGGTTAAGCACTTGACTAGCCTTCCCCCACCCCAGGCTTGGGGGAGGGGGATTAAAAAAAGGAATGGCAATGCCAGTCGGTCCGTCGTAGTGCACACCGATAATCCCAGCACTCTCTGGGGCAGAGGCATGCAGATCTTTGTGAGTTCTAGGCCAGCCTGGTCTACACAGCAAGTTCCAGGCCAGCTGGGGCTACAGGGAGACCCTGTCTCAAAAAGGCCAAAAAATAAAAATAAATAATAATAATAATTCTCACACCATCTCTGTAAGTGTGCTTTTTCTTTTATAAAGGATACGATGGAAGCTTACAGGATCTATATAACTTGCCCATTGTTACGTAGCTACTAAAAGAATTGGGATTTTTTTTCAGGTGGAGTGGTGCTTGCTTTTACTCCTGGCACTCAGGAGGCAGAAGCAGGTGGATCTCTATGAGTTTGGGACCAGCCTAGTCTACATGCCAGCTGGGGTTACATAGTAAGACCTTATAAAATAAATGAATGAATGAACTGCAATTTTTGCTCAAGTCTCTGGCAATAAATTCTGTAAATTTTTAGTTATATCATCTGTATTAGTAACTCTTCCTGTTGTATGGTTTTATTTTGGCTTATAGTAAATTCTAGATATAGTCCATCATGGTGAAAGAGGAATGGTGGCAGGAGCAAGAGGCAGCTAATCACACTGCATCCATGGTCAGGAAGCAGAGAAGAATGGGAGGTTGAGTCTGGGCTATAAGATCTCAAGGTCTGCCCCCAGGGACCACTTCCTTCAGTGCAGTTCCCTCTCCTAAAAATTCCGTAATTTTCCCAGAAAGCATCACCTGGAACCAAGTGTTCAAACACAAGTCTATTGGGGACATTTCACATTTAAATCAGAACATCATCCTAAATGAATGCTAAGTTTCACGGTCCTGTCTAGTCATTAAAAGAGAACTATTACACCAAGCATGGTGGCACACGCCTTTAGTCCCAGCACTTGGGAGGCAGCGACAGGCAGATTTCTGTGAGTTCGAGGCCAGCCTGGTCTACCTAGTGAGTTCCAGGACAGCTAGGGCTACAGGGAGATCCTGTTTCAAAAAAAAAGAGAGAGAGAGAAAAAAACACTATTATATTTTATTGGTGCGTGGGTTTGTTTGCCTGTGAAGATCAGAAGTCAACTTGTTGGATGACGGTTTTCTCTTCCCACCATGTGGGTCTGAGGAATGGACCTCAGGCCATGAGGCTTGGTGCCTTTACCCACTAAGCCGTCTCACTGGCCCCTTACAGATGTTTTGTATATACTATTCCTTCTAGAGTCTGTCCAAGTCTTTCATTCTTTTGAGACAAGGTTTATTCTGTAGCCCAGGCTCATGTAGAACCTGTGGTGATCCTCATTTCTCAATCACCCAAGTGCTGGGATTACAGTCGTAAGTCACCACACAGGATTTAACATCTCTCTTAATCATATATATTTTTTAATTTTATTATTTTTATTTTATGTGTATGTGTATATTGTCTGCATGTATGTAAGTGCACCCATGTTGTGCAATGCCCATAGAAGACAGAAAAGGGCATCAGATCCCCTGGAACTGGAGTTATGAACAGTTGTTAACCATAATGTAGGTGCTCAGACTCAAACCTGGGTCTTCTGTAAGAACAGCTGGTGCTCCTAACCACAGAGCCATCTCTCTAGCCCTCTCTTAATGATATTTATCCTATTTGCCCACACCTTTGTTCTCATTCTACAACTCAACTACAGTCTATTACTAGTTTTTAAAAATGGTATTGTTACATTATCTGACAGATTAAATTTATACTTTAAAAATGGTAACCATGCCAGGAATGGTGGCCCACAACTTTAGTCCCAGCACTCAGGACACACAGGCAGGCAGATCTCTGTGAGTTTAAGGCCAACCTGGTCTACAAAACAAGTTCCAGGCCAGCAGGGAGACCATGTCTCAAAAGACCAAAAAAAAAGATAACCATTACTATTTTTAAACAACTCAATGACAAAAAAAAAGGGGGGGAGGGGGACAAAACCAAGAGGGAAACAAACTATACTTCATATGTTGGGGAAAAACCTAGGTTCATCTCTAGACTGAAATATCTTTTTGTTTTGTTTTGGTCTTTTTGAAATAGGGTCTGGGACTAAAGGCCTGAGCCACTACAATAGACTGAAATTTCTAAAGCTAAATTAACTTTTTGTCTTGGTGAGTTAACTCTGGCCCTTGGAAAGTACATAAAGTTAATAAAAGTAAAATCCAAAAATTGCTAGCAGAAGATGATTCAGGTTACAAGGAACTGAACTGAAGGAAAAACAGTTCCTATGAAGGAGAGAAATCTTTCCAGCACAATCACTTGCTCAAAACAGTACAAGCAAGGGGCTGGAGAAATGGCTCCACGGTTAAAAGCACTTGCTCGTCTTGCAGAGGGCTATAGTTTATTAGTTCCCAGCATCCACAAGGGCCCGTAACTCTAGTTTCAGGGATCCGACGCCTTCTTCTGGCCTCTGGGAACACCACTTATGCATGTGGTGCCCATACATGCAATGCGGGCATACATTCATACACAAAAAGTAAAATAAAACTTTTTAAGAATAAGAAAATCTGCAAAGGCTATCCACTCAGTCGGATTCCTGAAATTTCAAATGAACCTAGCTCCACTTCTCTCAACAATGTGGTCAAACACTGCAGCCTGGGTGGAAAACAGGGATCCAGGCAAGAAGTCAAATTCAATAAAGACCACGAATCCTTTGACGGAAGTTATTTACCGTGCCAAATGTAACCTCAGCGGAAAAGGCTGTTCTATTAATAGCAGAGGAACATAGCTCTACTTTGTTCTCCTTCCACCCTCCGCTGTTCTGAGTACCTACGAGTCATTTCAGAGAACCCTGAGCAGGCACGGGTCCACCTGCAAATAGGCCCGCGAGCAGCGGCAGCAGCAGGCCGAGCTTCCTGGGCCGGCACCCCGCCCCCTCCCCGGCCACCCGGGGCCTGGGGGAACGCCCGGTGGACACTCCCCGCGCCTCACCGCCCCGCCTTACCTTCCGCGTCCGCGGAAGAGACAAAGGTGAAGTCCCCGTTGGCGGGCGCATAGGCCGGGGGCGGGCCGGGTGGCTGCATCCCGCCGGCCCGAGGCTGTGCCTGAGGAGCGGCTGGGCCCAGGCCTCGGTGGCTACACGCACACTAGCGCTACCAGGCGGCCTGTGAGCCGGGAGGCGACAGCTGGAGTGAGGGCGGCGACGCGCAAGCCTGTCCACCCAGCGGCCCCCCGACGCAGCCGCACCGAAGTCCAACGGGTGGCGAGCGCCCAAACACCAGGACTCCGGCGCCCTGACAGGACCATAACAGTGACAGCGCCGCCCGGATTGGCTCTTTGTAATCTGCTCTCCCATTGGCTGCCGTAGGAATGTTCTGATTGGTTCGTTCTATTGTTGATGCCGGAAGTGTCCCCAGGACAGGAAGTTCACTCTGATATCTCTGTTCCCCCTGTGGCTGCTTAATCCAACCTCCCTTCCCCCTTTTTAGCTTTAGCTTTTCTTTATAGAGTGTCTCCGTTTTTTGAGAAAATGATTTTTGCAGTTTAGACTGTGGTGGCTCACGCCTGTACTGCCAGAAGTCTGGAGGATGAAGCAGGAGGATTGCCATGAATTCATGTCAGCCAGGACCACAAAATGAGACGTCTCAAAAAACCGAAAACATGAAACAAAAAATACTTAGGTTTCAAGGTTTCAGCCTCTCATATGGCCCCAAGATTCTGCTGCCTTTACTCTGTGTAGAATCTTGACTTAAGTTATGCATCCTGTCAGAGCTTTAGTTTCCTCACCTGTTGAATGAAGGGTGCTGGATTGGAGAATAGTTGTAGTAAAACAGGTAAGATGTAAGTTGCCACCCAGAGACTAGAAATGTATTCTACCCACATTCTTTTATAAGGAAAGCAATAGACCAGAGAGGATGAGGTATTATATTACTGAGCTTGGAAACACTGGGAAAAAGACCATCAGACTCAGTTCAAATTTTAATTGGTCAGATTTATTTAGAGCTGTAGCCGTCTGTGGTCCCCTAGTCAGATTTAGGACCCACGCCCCTAGGGTGGAACTAGATTTTAAAGGCAAAAACTGAACTGGCTCAGCAAACTTCCCTAAGTTACTCCATTTTGTTCAGAGCCATTTCAGCAGCAACTTTGCTCCACACCAAAAGGAAAAGGGGGGCAACCTTGGGCCTTTGAAAATTGCCCTCACCATGAATCATGGAATGTGCTAATTCCAGATATTATATTTTTACTAACCAGCTTATTTTCGCTTCTGTAACCTGCTTGCTCTCTTGGGTCACCCTGACACAGGGCACAAGACCACCCTTGTTATCCTGTTATTGTATGACCACCTAGAAGTTATTTACCTTGACTGTCTTATTTTACTTGTTATGGCTAAAGCAGTTGGCTAGTTTTAAGGTCACAAAATTTGATGCCAAGTTTATGACTGTATCACTTGTCTGTATAATGATTGGTTGTTGATTAATAGAGTCAAAATTCTGCTATGTTGTACAAACCTGATTGGTTCACAAATGTCCTGTTTTAATAATAATTCTGTAATCCTATAAAAACTCTGACTTAACAATCATCAGGGCTGCTTCTACTCCCGAGATAGACAGCCCGGCCGGTCGAAAATTAAAATTTACCTTGCTACTTTTCTTAAAGTGGTGTTGGTGATTTTTTACAAACTCTGTCCTATAACAAAAACTACAAATACCATAAGAATTTAATCACACATGACTAATGCCAGGTGGTCCTGAATATGGTCAATATACCCAAGTTAGAAGATAAGCAAACTACTGAAACCAAAGCAAACTTGTATTAGTTCTCCTAATGAGGTATAGAGACCTTGGCAGTAAGGCACGTTCTGATTAAGTGTAGCTATTATGTCTGGGAAATCCAAGGTCAGCTACTCCAAAGAAAATACTCTTCTAAGCGGAAGCAACTAAGTTCAGGCACTTAACCTTGAAGCTGGCAATTTTTCTAACTTTTGAAGTCTAAAGTGGCTGCTTTATACAAAATGAAGTTACTTTGGCTATTACAATTTAGGGGGCTCCATTTGGTACCATAACAGTTACAATTAAGATGGTACCTAAGCCCCCACTAATTTCTTGTCAGGTGCTTGTTCCCTGTCCCGATAAACTTCCCAAAGTGTATTAGCTTGCCTACATTTTGAAGTGTTCAAATAAATATAATTAAATTTAATATCCAAGCTATATCAATGTGGCTTCCATTTTGGAGAAGTCCAGAGGGCATATAATGAAACACACTTGGAGTGATACAAAATGGATCAGTAATGAAGCAAAGGAAAGTTGCACCCCCTAAAATTTCAGGTGGAATTTGGGCTAGTTTTCTCACAGGAGGGAATAAGTTGGTAATTAAAGGATGAATAGAAATTTACAGGCAGAGAAGTAGGGAGATGTGTGTTGCATCCTGGGTCAACATTACAGAGATAATTTACTGGACTTGGGAAAATAAAAGTCATGGAGTTTTCTTTCAGTTTAGGTTTCATGGGAAGGGATGGCTGAAGAGGAGATCTCATAAATCGGGTTTTTTAAAAAAGATTATTAAATACCTTGTAGGGTAATCTGTAGTGTTTAGGTGTTTTGGTTTGGGTTTGGGTTTTTTTTGTACAATGGAGTGATAGTCCTTTTAGAATTATTACTTAATAGCTGGAGAGATGGCTCAGTGGGTAAGAGCACTTGCTGTTCTTTCAGAGGACCTGCGTTAATTCTCAGCACCCATGTGTGTTGGCTCACATCTGTCTGTAATTCCAGTTCCAGGAGATCCAGTACCCTCTTCTGGTCCTTGTAGACACCAGCATGCATATGCTTATACACACATAAATAAAAATAAAATATTTTAAAAGAATTATTATTATTATTGGTCTTTTTGAGACAAGGTCTCCCTGTAGCCCCAGCTGTCCTGGAACTCACTATGTAGACCAGGCTGGCCTTGAACTCACAGAGGTCCGCCTGCCTCTGCCTCCCAAGTGCTGGGATTAAAGGCGTGCACCATCACACCCAGCTTAAAAGAATTATTAATAAAAATAGACATATTGAGAATATCTTGATTTGGAGGTTGTGACTTGTATGAGGATTTTTGTAGATATGTACATCATGTAAAAATTATTTATATTTTATGTTTATGAGTGTTTTACCTGCATGTATGTAAGTGCACCTATATCATGCAATGCCCACAGATGCTAGAAAAGGGCGTTCAGTCCCCTGGAACTGGAGTTTGCCACCACGTGGTTTCTGGGAACCAAATCTGAGTGCTCTGCAAGAACAGCCTTAGTTGCTGAGCCATCTCTTCAGCCCCCAACATATTTCTTTTTGAGGTAGCTCATATTTCTTTTTGAGGTAGCTTACAATGTAGCTCTGGCTAGCCTGGAACTCTATATAGACCAGTTTGCTCTGGAACTCACAGAGATCTGCCTGCCTCTGCCTCTCAAGGATATGTACATAATTCTTGAACTAGAGTTATAGCTCTAGAGATAAGAAAGAGGAAATAAATGAGATGTTAAGGTTAGAACTCATAATTAATTATAAACTGCAAGATATTGAGAATGAAGAGGTGCTTAGGATATAGGATATTTTCATGTTTCATTTTCTCTTCTCTGGATATTCTTTTTTTTTTCAAGGCAGGATCTCATATAACCTCATAGTCTGTATGTTCCTAAGGATGACCTTGATCTTCTGATCTTCCTACATCCATCTTCCCAGTAATGGCATTACAGGCATGTACCACCACATCTGATTCATGCAGAGATGGGGATTAAACCCTATACTTAGTGAATGCTAACCAAACACTCTACCAACTGAGCTACCTCCATGGTCTCTTTCATGGTTCTTGCTTGGCTGCTTGAAAATGCTGCTAAATGTGGAAAAAATAAGGGTAGAGAGATAGCTCAGCAGGTAAGAGAACTTTCTGCTTTATCATAGGACCTGAGTCTAGTTCCCAGGATCCATGTCAGGTGGCTCACAACTGCCTGTGACTCCAGCTCCAAAGAATCTGATGACTTCTTCTGGTTCCTGAGGGCACCCTCACACACATCAGACACACACACACATACACACACACACACACACACACGCATGCACGCGCACACCTGTACAAATTAAAAATATTTTTGTTTGTTTTGTTTTAAGACAGGGTCTCCCTGTAACTCCAGCTGGCCTGGAACTCACTATGTAGATGAGGTTGGCCTTGAACTCACAGAGATCCGCCTGCCTCTGCCTCCCGAGTGCTGGAATTAAAGGCATGTGCCACCACTCCCGGCTAAAAATCTTTTTTTTAAGTGTAGAAATAGAAAAAGAATAGGTCTGCTAAGATGGAAAAGTATTGAGCATAATAAGTTAAAAAATATGTCCAGTTATTAACTCACAAGCACGCAGTGCTCACGATAACAATTCTGAATTAGAAGCTGGGCATGGTGGCACACACCTTTAATCCCAGTACTTTGGAGGCAGAGGCAGGCGGATCTCTGAGTTTGAGGCCAGCCTTGTCTACATAGTGAGTTCCAGGTCAGCTGGAGCTACAGGGAGACCCTGTCTCAAAAAGACAAAATAAAAATTCTGAATTAAAGATGTATCATGACAGTAAACAGTTCATGTTGGTCAATACTCTAATGATAAAATCCAGATCAGACTGCTGTTCAGGCCACAGTACCTGCAGCAGCTCTCCTCTCGAGGTCAGCTGGAGCTACAGGGAGACCCTGTCTCAAAAAGACAAAATAAAAATTCTGAATTAGAGATGTATCATGACAGTAAACAGTTCATGTTGGTCAATACTCTAATGATAAAATCCAGATCAGACTGCTGTTCAGGCAGTCTTACAGATATTAACAGGCATCTCAGGGAGAATTGTCTGTGAGTCTCTAGCTAACAGACCCCTAGGTGCTGGGATTTCTCACCTGGGAGAAATCCATCAAAGGGAGTATTGGTGGTCACACATTCTGGTCCCCACCTCCTTCCTTACCTCCTGTCAGGGAATCTGAGAGTCTGGTTGGAGGCTTATGTTGTGGAACCCCTCCTTTCTCAGAGAGCTATAAGTAGGGACCTCTTCTCTGCCACAAGTGTCTGAGTCCTCTCTTCAGAATTCTGCCATGATATCTGTCTCTGGCACTAGAATCTGAAATTTCCTTAGAGCCCCAGCCATACTATCCTTTTGTCTGTCCTTTTTTCCCATGGCATTAATAGACCCCATTATGAAAAGTCTCAGGTGCAGGGTTCAAAGAGACACAGACAGATTGTTGGGGGTAAGACATTTATTATAAGAGTTACTAATGCCATGCACAGACACAGAATTGCATCTTTGAGTATGGTGAGATTA